TGCTTACATCAGGGGAGCCAGGAATCAGAGTGAGGGAAAGAGCTGGAGAGTGAAGGGGTGATTAAGTTAGATTTTTCATGATCCAGTCACTTCTAAGAGCCCCACTTTGAACACATGAGCTTTTGGGGGAGCAATCTTAGATCCAAACCTTAAATTTACATCCCCTTAGGTTTCTGCCTGTGTCCATGTGCTCTGTAGGACTGAAGATGTGGACAGGAACACTCAAATGGTTGGAGCTATGCATGGGGAGATCAGTTCACCTTATTCTCACAGCAAGTGCATGCTGTGGTGATCATTACACCCATTTAATAGAGGAAGAAATACAGCTTCAAAAAGGGCAAGTGCTTACCCAGTAGTTCATTGGTGCAGAGATAGAACTAGAACTTGCAGGAGATGCTGGAGCCTGTATTTCAACAATAAAGTTTTCTGGTGCCTTATAAGGGAGTAGACTAGGGAATCTGAACATAATGTGGTGGGCTGCAAAGCCACTGATAATTGTAGAGAAAGGGAACGGCGTGGCTAAAATAGTGCTGTAAGAATTTCAATCAGGCAGCCACAAAGTGATCTTTTGAGTTGTTCCAAGTCTAGAGCACTCTGGGATGGGAATAACACAATGACCTAATGTGAAATATAAAGGAGTCCTGACCCATGGGGAAAATAGCCATGACGTGTACTTGCTGAACACTTGATGTGTGACACATAGAGCACTGCACTGGAGATCACTGAGTCCTTATAATGTGAACAGGAAGTGCCATTATTGGCAACACTATAATGCAGGAGTGAAATGTTTGGGTTCTCCAAGCAGACAAAATCGATTCACCACCAGTGTGACTCTCAAAGTGTTGCTGTACTTCTGAGTCTGTTTCTTCACTTGTACATGAAGCGTAACACTAGTATCCACTTAGTAAAGTGGTTGGGGTGGACTTGGATGAGGCAGTCCCTAGGAGATAGTGAGCAACATGACGCAGAGTGTGTACGTCTGCAGGTTAACTGTGTTAGCTGTTACTGTAGACTCACATATTTTGCCAGTGAAGAAACTAAGGCTTGCAGAGATTGGATGAATTTTCTCAAGACTGGACAATTAAGGCTGGAATGGGACAGTCTGAACCCAGAAAGTGCACTCAATCCATTCTGGGGAGAGGCTGGTACTGAGGGTGGGAAAGAAGGGACATGAGAGACATTCAGCTTGGGTGAAGGACAGAGGGATGGGAATGGCACACAGCCAGGGCTTTGAAGATTCTCTTTCACAGATGTCCTGTGCTAAGCTGGCTGTGGACTGAAAAATTTTGTCCCCTTGATTATCCTCCTCCTTTGTGAAGTTTGTAGTGCAATCACACCCTCCTGTCTACATGGAGAGCCAAAGAAGACTGTGTTTGTATACAGCTCTGCACCGTGCATGAAGCATCACATGGGTACACTGGTGATGTCCAACCTACTGTACGTGGAGCTAAGGACTTGGAAAACCCCAAATTCCATCCTCATCCAGCACTCTGACCTCCATCTTCCACCAACGCAGTGACCTCAAGGAAGTGTGTATATGTTGGTTTTCTAAAAAACCCTCTTCATTGGGCCCCAACTGGGTCCTTAGTGTGTGTGTATTGTTGATAACTTTCTTCATTCTTCATGTATTCGGTCCAGGAAGTGCTCAGGCCCTGCCTTCTGCAATTTTAATGTAGCTCAGGTTGTTGGTTGTAGCTCAGGTTTAATGTAGCTCAGAGGCATCACTGTTCTATGGGAATTATTTCATTTTCTTGTAATTAAGTTTGGAGCATTTAAGCCCCTAACGCAAGAGGCACCAGACAGAATGTAAGGCTGATGACCATAGCTGCCTTTAGAGTTTCTGTGCTATCTTCTGTTGGTAGGTTCTTTATGTTGTTACCTTTTTGGGTATTTAACGAGGTTCTCTGGACAACTGTTGGGCTTATAGGTCTTCTATATCCTCCCGCTTATTAGTGAATTATATATTAGAATATATTTTAAGCTTTGAATGGAGGAGTGATTTCTCAGGATAGGTAAGTGATGATGTTGAATGAGCTTGTTTTTGACATGACATTCAAGAGCCATACAAAACGAAACCTCATCAAGAACTCAAAAAAAAAACAAAAACAAAAAAAAACCACACGCTGGTGCAGTTGTGGCGGGGAAGGAATCTTGTACATTGTTGGTGGGAGTGTAAACTAACCCAACCACTGGAAATCTGTATGGAGATCCCTCAGAAAACTAAAACTAGAACTTCCATTTCATTCAGCTCACCTCTTTTGGGTACTTTCCCAAAAGAATGAAAGATACCATATTACAGTGATACTTTCCTACCCATGTTTATAACTACATAACTCGTAACAGCTAAATTTTGAAAGCATCTTATATGCCCATTAACAGATGAACAGATAAAGGAAATGAGGTATAGACACAACAGGGTACTACTCGTCCACAGAGCAGTATAAATTTGAGTTATTTTGTAGGAAAACAGATGTGCCTTGAGACCATAAGCCTGAATGAAATAAATCAAATGCAAAAGGCTAAATGAGAAACCCATATTATAAATAATTTAAAGAGAGAATCAAAGATTATAGGAAACAGGGAAATAGGGCTGGGGATTTAGCTCAGTGGTTCGGTGGCCTGCCTCGCAAGTGCAAGGACCCGAGTTCGATCCCCAGTATCACAACAAGCAAACAAACAAACAAACAAAAAAGGAAACAGGGAAACAGATTATGTAGAGATGAAAAGGGAATCTGGAGATGGGAGGAAGGGGAGAAGTAAAAAGGGTCAAGATGAATGTATTCATTATGTATTATAAACATACTAAATATAAAAGAAAATGGAAAACTATAATCTCAGGTACTGAGCTCTCCACTCTTTCTGTTCTGCTTCCACCAAGAGCCAAGGACCCTCCTCTTGGGCTTGGCACATGCTTCTCCATAAGTGTCCTCTCATCACCCACTTCTTGGTGTATCACAGGCCAAGCCTTCTGCCAGGTTCTGGGGCCAGAGACATGAGGACAACACGGTTCTCTGCCCTTGAAGAACTCCCGGTCTTGATGGGATGGGATGTAAAATGATTAATCAATTCAAGAATATTGAGTTTCTCCAAAAGCTCCTGTAAGGAAAAAGAAAGTTATCCAGAGTCTTTAATTATGTTGCTTATTTTAATTGGCTTAGGTGAAATTTATAGAACAGTAATGTTGGAAAGAGCCTAGAAGGCATTTATTGACTTCCATTTCTTCACTCTGCCTCCCAACCCATATATTTCAGAAAAGAGCTGTTATTTTGAAGAACAATAGCTTTTGGCCCATTTAGATAAAACTTTCGGCAAATGTCCACAGGAAAGATGAGGGAGATTTGCTGAAAGAACCGACATTCAGTACTGCAAAGTGCTACATGATTAAAAGAGATATGAGTGGAATCATCCACCCTTCACACACACACACACACACACAAACACTCAGACACACGCACACACTCGCACACGCCTGCATGCACGCAAGTGGAATCTTCCTAAGTTACACTGTTGAGGTAGTGTTACAGACACATAGTTAATACGGAGTAGAAATTTAAAACGAGGCTGCAAAATTAAGAATTTTTTCAGTTCCCAGAAGAAAATGGATATCGGCATTTGTGAAATCTTGTTTTGTCACAACACAGAGGCGTATCTTTTGTTCAGCTGGCAGTTTTGCACCGCGTCAGCCCATCAATATGGGGTTTGTATCCACAGTGGGAGTTTGTATCCACAGGTCTTGGGAGGGGGGCTGGACATGGGCCTCAGGTCCAAGGCCACTTCCTGTGTGACCTTTTAGAGGCTCATTCTTCCTGTGGACAGTGTCACCTTTCCAGGGTCCTTCTGAGGCTGTGGTTCATCAAGGCATGTGAAAGTGGCTTGTGGATTGTGCTGTTACAACATTGCGAGCCTTTTCCTAATGGAAATCTGTCATCCTGATTATCAGTTTGTGGAGGCATCAAGATTAATAGATGTACTTCAGCCCAACATAAGTTACCACACCATTTCAGTGTGAAGAGCAGTCAGGGGTTGCTCCTTACCCTCAGCATAGAGTCTAAGCCCCTGGGCCTAGTTCTAGAGGCTCTGTGCGAGCTTCCTAAGATCTTCAACATCACTTCATCCTTTCTGCTTCATGAGCCTGAACTCCTTTATCCTAAAACAGTCAAAATGTGCCTCAAGATTCTTCTGAATGTTATTCTATTGTCCATCTTCCTTACCTGACTATCCCTCCCACGTTCCTACAGGCTTCTCTTCATCTCCAGGTGATGGGTGCTACTCTCCCTTAGTTTCTTATCAGGTCTCTGAAAGCACAGACTCATTGTGTCTATTTCACACCATGATTTCCCAAGTTCTAAAGCAGTGTTGATCCATAGTAAGGTGTTCAACAAGTGTTTGCTGATTGAAAAGATATATCTTCACATAGTGCTAATTGTAGCTTGTATTACACAGCAGTCTTTTATGTTTTAAGTTACAGAAACCCTACTCAAATTGGCTTACATGAACACAGGAACTCACTGGTTCATATAACCAAGAGATCCCAGGTAAATGGTTTCAGCCGTGACTGACTCCAGGGACTCCAACTATGTCTTTGGGAATATCTCTTTATTTTCTGTTGCTATTTTGTTTCTGTTGCTATCATTTTCTCATCACGAGCCTAGGGCAGGATAGAGTTTCTTCTGTTGAAAGTAGGTGGACTCAAAAGGTGGAAGATAGGAGGATCTAGAAGAGGAAAATGAGAAGAATAGCTGATAGGTGAGCAAAAATAACAGATGCCTGTCCCAGTACAGGCTCTGGGCTCCTGAATACAGGGTCTTCTCTCAGCTGTGTATTTTCAGTGTCTGTTCTGTAGCCTAGAATATAGTATGTGCTCAGGAATGTTTCTAAAGAAGTAGATGTGTCTTCCTTTCCCTTATTCCTGGGAAGAACTTATTTAAGCCCATAAAGACAGTTTTATACATACTATCTTCTGCCTCATACTGTTTTCCTTTCTTTTCACCTATTGGCAGGATCCAACGTCTACCTTCTTCCAGTTTGGAGCATCCATCCAACAGCAAGCCACGGTCATGCTGAAGATTATGCAGGATTATGACTGGCATGTCTTCTCCCTGGTGACCACCATCTTTCCTGGCTACAGGGACTTCATCAGCTTCATCAAGACAACAGTGGACAATAGCTTTGTGGGCTGGGACATGCAGAACGTGATCACGCTGGACACCTCCTTTGAGGATGCAAAGACCCAAGTCCAGCTGAAGAAGATCCACTCTTCCGTCATCTTGCTGTACTGCTCCAAAGATGAGGCTGTCCTCATACTGAGTGAGGCCCGCTCCCTTGGTCTCACCGGGTATGATTTCTTCTGGATCGTCCCCAGCTTGGTCTCTGGGAACACGGAGCTCATCCCCAAAGAGTTTCCATCAGGACTCATTTCAGTCTCCTATGATGACTGGGACTACAGCTTGGAGGCGAGAGTACGGGACGGCCTTGGCATCCTAACCACTGCCGCATCATCCATGTTGGAGAAGTACTCCTACATCCCGGAGGCCAAGACCAGCTGCTACGGGCAGACGGAGAAGCCAGAGGCCCCTCTTCATACTTTGCACCAGTAAGAGAGGGATCTTTGCCTTTCTTCAAAAGTGGGATCAGGGAGTTGTAACTATTGCTGTTTGCTCACATACTTATTGATGGAAATATGTGCTGCAGATAGAGAACGTCGGGTGCCTACTTACAGGAGTTTTATTTGATTCGATCTTCCCCTATTTTCTATTTCTCTTTCCATCTCATTTTTAAGATAAGTAGCATTGTATTTTAATTGTTTCCTGCAGCTTACTTTTTTAAAAAACCGAACCACATATCTTAGAAACTTTCATTTAGGATCTATCATTTATGTCCCAAGTAAATCTAGATTCTTTGTAACATACACATCACATTCTTTAATATGAGTGTACCATGATTTACTTATGCAGCCTGTGTAATGTTAGAAATTTAGTTTTTTTTCCCCCAGACTTTTTCTATTAGAAGCTAAACTGCAGGGATAATCATCACATATATCTCTTTAAGCACATGTGCAATTATTTTTCTGGTCTGGATTCTAAAAAGTAGGATATTGGGGTCAGAAGGCACGTGCATTTTTAACTTTAAGTGTCTATGGCCAAATTGCGCTATACAGACATGGTATCAATTTACAGTCACATCAATAGCTTGTGAAATCATACAACCTCCCACTTCCTCACAAGCGTGGTATGTTTTGGAAAAACTGCCCATACTGGTGTTCCTGGTCTCTAACTTCGTGTCTGAATTTCTTCTCATAGTCTCAATATTTTTGTAGGTCATTGGCAACTTTGGCAAGCTTCACTCTTGTGGTTGCATTCTATTCCAGCATATGTATGTATCCTAATTTATTTAACAACTCTCACCATGGCGGAGATCGGAGTGAAATGTTATGTTTCTGGGAAGTGTCGTTCCTTGTGGCCTGTCACTGTGTCTCAGGTATTGAGATTTAGTGATAATTACTCAGGCACTCACATCACGTGTTTTTGCCTGTTGTTTTCTGATTTAATCTGTGCTTCAATCTTCAGATGATGAGAAGTGTGGCACTGTGATTAAAGACGGCTCTGGAGTTAGACTTGTCCAAGTTCGAATCTTGTTTCATGGACTTTCTGCAGGACTCGGACAATTACTTTACCTTTCTGGGCTCCCTATATTTATCACATAGCGATGCTAATAGCATCTACTTTCTAGGCCGTCATTTGCAAGCTTTAGTATGCATAAGAATTTCTGGAAGGGCTGCTAAAACATAGGTGCGCTCCATGGTTAGAGTTTCTCAGATGTTAGTAAATTTGGGGTACAAGTTCTTGGGTGACTATTGACATTGCTGGTTGGGGACCATGCTTTGAGAACCAATGTCCTAGAGGTCATAAGTATTAAATGAAGAAATGTGGGAAAAATGATATTTGGCACAGTGCTGATCTTCTGGTACCTCTTTAATAACTTTCAGAGTGATGAATGAAGGCTTTGGTCATGAGAAATTATAGTCAGCAGACCATATTGGTTTATTGCCAGCAAGGTGAGGTGCCATTTTAAAAATGTCTCTGAAAGCTTCAAGGGCTCTGAGTTCGCTGCATTTCAGAGGTTATCTTTGAGTTAGGGTTTTCAGAGCATGTGTGCATGCATGATGGAGTAGGCAGAACATACTTCTTTACAAGGAACATACAACTGAAAAATGAATTCTTGAATTAAGAAATCTGGCTTTGGTCATGAGAAATTATAGTCAGCAGACCATATTGGTTTATTGCCAGCAAGGTGAGGTGACATTTTAAAAATGTCTCTGAAAGCTTCAAGGGCTCTGAGTTTGCTGCATTTCAGAGGTTATCTTTGAGTTAGGGTTTTCAGAGCATGTGTGCATGCATGATGGAGTAGGCAGAACATACTTCTTTACAAGGAACATACAACTGAAAAATGAATTCTTGAATTAAGAAATCATGTTCTTTGATACTTCTCCTTCCTCTCTCCTTTCCCCCTCTTGATGACCCTGGTTCTACAGTGCCACTTTCAGCCTTGTAAATAATTATCTAAATATCAGTAAGGAACTTAGATCATTTAGGATAAGGCCTGGGAGCCTCTTATGAAGGCAAGATTGCTGCCAGCCCAAACACAAGGACGGGGCTAATGAATTCATACTTCCCTTCATAAGATATGCCCTGCAGCTGGAAGACCCAGAGATGTATAATTTTGATGGCAACATAGCTCATTTGCAGGACAAGTGAAAGGAAGTATATATAGAAAAAGGAATCTGAGAGGGATAACTGGTAAGATGTGTGGATACCCTTCCAGGGACTGCCCTGGATTCCATTTTTGAAGAAGAAAAAATCCTGTTTCTGTGAGAGGCTGTTGTGCTGTTTCCAGGAGCATGTCATGGATACAGCAATTTTATCAATGGCATTTCAGCTCCAAAGAAGTAATACATCAAGTGCAGGAAGTTGTGGTCCACTGTTTGGTGTTTATTGAAACATCTCTCCATCCATTGGGGGCTGCTCGTGCTCACCCTGGGCATGAGGCTAAATAATAGCACACTCTCTTCTCCCACGCCAGGAAAGGATGGGACCCCCATCGGATTACTCTTTTCTGGGAGCTGGAGAAAGTGCAGAGAACACAGTCTAAAAAATTAAGGGCATGGTCTCTGTCTTGCATCTATCATTCTTTCGTCCAGGAGACCTGTGCAAGCCACTGGAATGCACAGATGCATTAAGATAGAATTTCTGTTCCTGGAGACCACAGTGTCGATAAATATGGGAGAAATGTGTCTAAAGACAAACTCTGGTAACAAGAATTAATTTTTCAATATTGAAAAAGAGAGTAGTACAGAATCTGATAAAATATCCTACCCAGTACTCACAGAGAATAAAGCTTGATATGTCACATTTGTTTCAACATTTTAAAAGAACACATTAAAGATAATGTAGAAGTCCTGATTACATCTCTCTCTAGTCCCACCTTTCTCCCTTCTCTCCATGAGGGGAAAAAATATCACAATGAATTTGGCATTTATCTGAATCCATGTGCTTGTTTTTATACTTTCTTTTAAAAATTTTTTTTAAAAATTGAATTTATTGGTACATTCTAGGTAGACAGTACAGTTACATTCATTGCTGGGATCTTGTACCTTTACATGCCAGGTCTTGGTTTGTTTTTATACTTTCAACAAGGGAGGGTTTGCAGTTTTCTACCAAATACATAGTACTTTTTAATGTACATCAGTGATATCTAATGTTTTGAGTTTTGCTTTACCTCTACCTTGATTTCATGATCACCCTGTGAAGATAATAGAACTCCAGAATATTCATCTCCCTGGCTGTGGAGAGAGAGAGAGAGAGAGAGAGAGAGAGAGAGAGAGAGAGAGAGAGAGAGGGACAGAGAGAGAGACAGAGAGAGACAGAGAGAGATCCCGCCCTCTTTTACCTAATCATTTTCCTTTGATGGACATTTATGTTATGTTAGAAAGGACCCTTCTGTCTGGGAGGCTGAAGGCAGGGGACAGAGGTCAGTAGCCTTAGTTGGGCCTATGGGATTGTTCGGTGAGAGCCTAGAACTTCTTATTTCAAGCTCTGAAAGACTGTATTTTCAGATAGATAAGAAGTCTGTTTTGCATAGCATCTGGTAAACAAATAGCTTTCATTAGTTTTCTTATGTAGTAGGGAGAATGATTATAGCTTCGGAAGAGACTGAGGTGAATTGAGCGCTGATGAGGAGGATCTCAGAAGGAGGTAATCTGTAACCAGCTTTGTGTGGTTGAGAACGTTACCTCAGGGCTAACTGGATAAGCTGCTTGGTGGGCCTCAAGGACATTGCTCACAGTCTTGTACATGCATCGTGTGCAGTTAGAATATCACACAATGCTCTGTTGTTTGTGGTGCTTGACAAGGTGCAAGGGGCTGCTTGCCAGAGTTAATGTACTCATGATCTCACTATGAACCTGTTTCTGCCCCTGTGATTTAGGAAAAAAAAAAGTAGGGGCAAGGGAGAAATTTTCTTCATGTTTAATATTCCTGGCTTTACAGAAGACACATGGAAAAGAGCAGTCAGCATTTTCCAAAGTTTAAAAATAGCTCAGCCATGTTATGTAACCTCCTCCTTGCTGCTGCAAAGTTATTAAACATCTGTTCCTTCACTGAGCACTGAGCAGATCATGGGCAACTCCCAGAATGAAGAAGATAAAACATTACCTGCTGTGTGAGTGTGGAGTCTCAGCTGGTCATTCAGGTCTGTCCCAAGGATCTACCCAGTCCATGAGCAAATGGGACTCCCGGGACAGTGTGAATTTGTGGTTAAGAGCTGGGGCACAGGCATCGGGCCGCCCAGGCTCAGGCTTTGATGGGCACATGCTAAGACCTAAGACTTTAATGGAGTCTCTCAACTCCCCCAGGTCTCCTTTGGATATAGTATGGGAACAGGAAAAGTATGGGCTTCCTAGACCAGTGCCTCACCCTCAGAAAGCAGTCTGTAGTTGGAGACTTTTGCAAGTTGGACACCCCAGTCCAAAACATACAAAACTTTTGAATGCTGACAGAACACCTCAAGTGGAAAATTACATTCCTGACCTCCCTTGACAGGTCACAACCAAAATGCAGGTGCATTCAAACTACTGTCAAGAATTACTTTCAGGTTATGTGTATCATATAAGATGTACACAAAACATGAGTGAATTCTGTATTTAATTTTGGGTCCCATTTCCGAGACATCTCATTATGATGTATATGTAAGTATTCCAAAATCTGAAAATATTCAAAATCCCCTGTAGTACTGGTCCAAGCAGTTCAGATAAGAGATACTCAACTCAACCTGTATTGGTGAAACACACACATACGACACTGTGAGTGAAACAAATGTATTTGCAGGGCACAGCCCCCGAAGTTATTATTTGTTCATGCTGTAAAACATATTCAGGACCTTAAAGAGGCTAGCACTAGTCACCCATAGGTGGAAACACACCGAAATGAAATGGCAGGCAGCTCTGTCCTTCATCTCTTGCTTTGTCCAAGTTACAGGACAGTGGGGCATTCATGGAAGGGCTCAGCTCTCCAGGGAGAGATCTGGAGGAAGGGTGTA